TTCCTGCTGCTTGCTACCTGTGCTTTTAATCTAGGAATCTTGTTACTTAGCTGCTTTTAGCCAAAGAAAAGTTACCTTTTCTCCATCTTTCTTGGCCAGGAATTTGCAACTTTTTCCCCCAAATATAGACCTTGTTACTGTTACTTATGCTTTGGTCACTTTGAGGTACTGTTATCGATGTTTCCTCTAATTATTTCCATCTGTGTGCAGAATAAATTTTGTTATGTGCATGGAGGCATGTGCAGATGTGCACCACCAGTAGAAACACATGCTGCTGACTGTGGACACTCTGCTAATCAGCTGGGTGGCATTTGAATCTCTCCTTCATAGTGGCCCAAACATTGAGCTTATAGGGAACACTGACCGTTACTGGAATATGCTCTGGGTAAGAATATGACTTATGATCAGCATAGTGTGGTTGCCAGTTTGTTAACCAATATGGCTTGCTGAGAGCATATAAACCACTCTTCCAAAACCTGTCAGTTTCCAAATGAAGCTGATGCTGTTGATTTTGATGTATAAAGAATGCTTCTGGAAAAGGAGGGAGGTCTAAGAAAGTATTCTCTCTCAGTTGTGTGCACGGAAAATAGTTTCCAGGGTGGATATAGTTCATATTTCCTAAGGATATTCCCACATACAGTCAGACTAATGTAAGACAGGGCTACTCAACTTTGGAAGCCCCAGGGGCCACAAATGATACTCACAACACATGCCGAGGGATGCAACTAAAGTGTGATTGCATGTATATGCAAATATATATATGCAAATATATGCAAATAGATTATTCCACACTAATGGGCATGAATACAAAGATTAAGGCAAGACTACACAACAGGCAGGCCCCATTTAAGTCAGTTCTGCTGATATTAACAAAATGCAATATTTACCCAATTTCCACCCATATGACAGCACTTTTAATGAGCAATGACAGTCCAGGAATTTAACTACTAAAATGCATATCAACAGAAGACCATTATATTGACTACTTTTTTGTTATGTCTCCCACCTGCGGGCTGCAAACAGTCATTCTGCCAGCAGCATGCAGCCCACAGGCCGCGTGTTAAGTAGCCCTGATATAAGACAAAGTTTGCTTTCCCGCATGTCTACAAATGCCTGTCTGGTCTGGATGGCTGATAAATGGATTTTAGCAACTTTAATGTACATCAAATGTCTTTTGCTCAGACACTGGAAAGGCCCAGAAGTGTCTTATTTGATAGATAGATAGACAGATAGATGGCTGAGAATAATTCCTTTGAGAAAGTAATTTACAAATATGAGGATAAAATGAAAAAGAAAAAAGGACATTTCCCTTCAGAGGTAATGGTCAGCACTTGACAGAACTGTCTCTTGTGAGAAGAAACAAGATGTCAAGTGTCACTAAGATGTCGGAGCACAAATAGAATGAGAAGACCAAAAGGCTTTTATGTCAAATCACACAAGTGCTTCTTTTATCTTATTCTTTCATGTTACTTATATAATTGCCATCTTTTCTTTTTCTGCCATTTCTATGTCTGTCCAACCATAAGGTACTGTATGAATATGTTGTCCTTTCAGATTAAGTCCGATTCTCTAGTTGCTAGATATGTAAAATTCCATTGACTTTAATGTAAGTGATGAGCACATCCACACTGAAAAGGAACACTGATTTTATTTAGTAAGAATAGAAATGTGCACCTTTTCATAATTACAACAGTTGTTTCAGACCAGAACCAGGCCAGGCAGGCTTCAGAGCTTCCTTTTAATGATCCAGTCTGAATTAACTCTTCTGACTGAGGAATCAATGACTTACTCTATTTTTGTAATGGAACTCTTTGTAACAAGTTTAGTTATATCATTTGCTTGAATTAATATTGTTTTTATTTTGGACAGAGCCTTATTATCCATCATCTACAATAAAGACCGGTTTAAAGAAACATTTTGGAGTTAATGCACTTTTTCTTAACACTAACTAACGCAAGTGCAGAAGCTGGCATGGAAATAGGGGGGAAAGGGTGAGATGATGTGCTTTGGGGATAGATGATGTCTTTGGGGATAGAAAGAGATAGGGAAGCTTTCAACTGCATTTGCCTCATTCCAATTCTGAATGGGTCTGAAATGGCTCTTGATGTAACCCAGGAAACTGGGGGCTGCTCTCCATTACAGCAGCTCTGTATGAGTCCTTGGCAGCATATGGGGATGGAGAGTAGGGATGTATACCCATTTTAAAAGTTAACCAGTTAAACGATATGTTTAACTTAACAGTGGAGGGCTTGGGTCCTGCAGGCGGGAGGAGGGGAGAAGTTTTCTCTGGCCAGTCAGCCCTGCAGTGGATGTGGGAGATGTTCCTGCTTTGGCTGGCCAGCCTCACTGTGCTTTGTTGTGGGTGGGGAGCTCGATCTAGCTGCCCCTGCTGCATGCTGTACCATGGGCAGGGAACTTGCTCCGTCCAGCCCTGCTGCTTACCAATTATACCTTTACATTCCTAATACGCATGTTGTCAATCCAAGGCATGCATTGGTTTAAAAATAAAATACCACAGGCTTGATCCTGCTTGCCACATGTGGAACTCCCATGAATTCAGTGGTGCATGGGTCACAGGAAGGTGTAATGTACACGGATCTTCAATCCTACACTTGAATGACTTTGTTTTAGTGGACTTAAAATTATATCCAGAATTGTACCTGTATTATTCTTATTCAGTGGCATGAATAGTTTCCTGTGTTTAAGCATATGTTAAGGAGTTGCCTCTGATGATGTCATCTCCACAGTTCTCTAAATGGCTCCCCCCCTTTTGTTTATAATCCTGCTTTTCAAACAGATACATGTGTATATGCTCTTTAAGGACTTCATCCAAAGACCAGTGAAGACTGTGTAGAGCAGGGGAACCTCTGGTCCACAGGCCGCATGGAATTTGTCAGTTAGCCACTGGTGGGCTGCCAAATGGGTTGTTTACATGACCATCCCCTGCCTTGGAGCCACACAGCTCCCAGTGGCCATGGTTCATTGTTTCCAGACAATGGGAGCTATGGGAGGCAGTGGCATAGCTCGTTACATTTCTTGCAGCTCCCAAGAATTGGGTGCTGCAGGTATCTGTGCCTGTGGACATTCAGGTAAATTGTCTGGTAACCCATCAGTGGCTAACCCTGATGTATCACGTGTAGCCAGTGTGCCAGAGGGTCTCCTCTCCCTTCTCCCCCACAGTGTAGACAGACCGCTTGACTTCAGTAGGTTTTTGATCAGGTCCTAATTGCAACATGCCAGGGTTAAAGTGTTGCTGGTTGTATAGAAACAAATATCCAGAATACGGGAGAGTCAAAATGGGTAAGTTAATATCTTTTGTAGAAACAACTTTTGCTGGTGGAATTGGAGGAGACAAGTGTTGCCCTTTGCACAGAGCTCTTTGAAGATCTGAAGAAGTCCTTTGTGTAAGTGGGAAAGCATCTTTCTTTCTTTCTTTCACTAAGTTGGTCCAGTAAAATATATTACCTCCCCCACCTTGCCCCTCAGATACCGTGGGCCTAACACGTTTAGAACAACACTGCACACAGAATGTGGGACACAAGCAAAGGAAAACAGCTAGTCACATCTAATGACATGGGCTACAAATGTATTTTAATATATATCATTTTATTTCAATTTGGTTGTAGAGTTGAACAATAAAACATGAGCGGACACTAGGTTTGTGTGCGTGACTGAGGTAAGCCTAAAATGATTTCTTTCTTAATGGGGCACAGTGCTTAATTTGAGTTGTTGGCGCTTGCCACGGCTGCATCCCAGTTCTTGGTTTGGGCAGTTCATAGCCCTTGCCCTCTGGGTTTGCCCTATCAGTTATGAATGCCAAAAAAAAAAAAAAAAAAAGGCTTGTGCCCCATTCATTACAAATTAAGCACTGCAGAGAGGTGCTGCTGCTCTCGCGTCCATGCCTAGGCACCGCACTCTCTGCGCCTGAGCTAAATGAACGGCAAGAGGAGGAGGGCAGACAACGCCCACTCCTTCAGCCTCAGAGGCAGGGACTTCAATGCATGCTGCTGCCAACCCATCCCGCTGCGAGTCTCTCGCCACCCCCCGCCGCCAGACGGAGGGTCTGCAGGCCCGCTTGCCCTTCCTTGCAGGGCTGGGGAGAAGCAGCAGGCAGGCTCCAGGCCGCAGGAGCACAGGGGCCGCGCGCCGGGCTCTCCTCGCCCCCGGGAGGAGGCGGGGGCGTGGCGGCGGCGGCGGCGCTGCTGCTTTGTGCCCGGAGCCGAGCCGAGCCGAGCCGGGCTAGGACGGGCGGGGGCGAGCTCAGCTCGCCTGCCCCCAGCAGCCCGGGAGGACCCGAAGCGGCGTTGCACAGGAAGTAGCGGCTGCCGGGAGAGCGGCGGAGACAGCAGCATCTGCCGCACTCAATGAAAGAGACGCGCCGGCAGCCAGGCAGTCGCCACGCTCCGACCCCAGCAGCCCGGGGCAGGCTCTGAGCAGGCGGCGGCCGAGGGGCAGGAGTCGAGTCGGGCAGGAGAAGCTCCCGCTAATCCGGAGGCAGGTCGGTGCTGCTCTGTTTGCAGGGCGGGGGGGGGAGAAGGATCCCGCCCCTGCCGTGGGTCGGGGCATTGGTGCGGTGCACAGGAGGCTGGGGCTGCCCTGTCGCAGGTGCCGAGCGCGGCCTTTCCCCGGGGAGCGCCTCCTCCTGCGCCCTTCCAGAGCCCCCCTCCGTGCAAGCCCCCTCTCCCCTGCAGCCCTGTCCCCTCTCGCAGCTTCCTAGCCGCCTTCTCCTTGGTGCGCCCTTAGCGCCCCCCCCCCCTTCGCGGGTGTCTTTCTCTCCCCCATCACCCCGCGCAGAGACAGCTGCTTCCGAGCTCAGCTCCCCCTCCCAGCCCCGGGGCTGCTGTCCCCTGGCTAACCTTTGCCCCCTGCCACCCCCATTGTTTCTAGGCAGGGGCGGGGGGGGGATTTTCAGCCTCCGCTGGGGCCATTGGGTTCCCCTGGAAGTTGACATCTGGACAGTCTTCCCGGTGTGTCCGGGATGCACATGGCGGGGGGGCTGGCGCTGAGCAGCGGCTGCAGCAGCTTCTTTCACTAGCAGCCCTCCTAGAGCTGCCGCTCTCCTGCTCTTCCCGCCCCTCTGCCCCCTCCCGCCCCGCGGCGCTGCAGGGAGAGGAGGAGCTGCTAGGGGCGGGCGGCTCCGCCCGGTCTTGGACCCCCGTTCGCCGCTTCCTCCCCGAGGACTCGGCTGGCGGGCGGGGGGTTGACACTCAGCCTCGGCCTTGCAGCCGCAGGCTGTGGGGTGTGTGTGTAATGTCAGCGCGGTAGCGGAGAGAGGGAACCATTAGCAGCCGCGGCTCCGAGGCTGGAGAGTCTTGTCGCCCTTCAGCTCTTCTGTTTTCAGCTCCTTGTCAGTGTGGCTGGGAAAGGCCTAGGGTGGGCAGCTGGCAAGTGTGAGAGAGCGGCTAGGGGTACTAGACACCTATATAAGACAAAGCCCCGACAAGTGGGACAGCCCCCTATAAACCCGTGACATCTGGTCACCCTTGATGTGAGTTGGAATTTCGCTAAGGGGTGTGTGCGCACAGGTAAAAAAAAATCACTGCATTAGAAGGGCTGTTCTCGGGGACGCTGCTTTTGTTTGTGTGTTTGTAAGTGCCTGACCCATGGAATCAAATAGGAGAGGCCAGGGAGGGAGGGAGTATGCTTGCTGAGTAAGACAAGCTAAAAGTAAGCATCATTGCGCTATAGGTTGACCAGATTGTAAGTGGACATTTGGAAGGGCTATTGAAAAGCAAAGACAGAAATGCAAAATGCTGTAGTCACAGCATATTGCATCAAAGAAGTGTTTTGCCAAAGCTGGCCTCATTAGCCCTTGGCAGTAAATATTGCATGGGATAAAATTAAGACTCTCTTCTCCCCCATCACTAGCGTAGTGAATTGGAATAAGGGTTTTTTGTTTCTTAATATTAATTATTGAAAAGCAGAAAATATGTCACTTGCCTTTTTCCTGTTGAAATCTGTCCTGCTGTTAAGATGAAGAGGCATATGCAGAAAGTGATGAAATAATGCTTTAAAAATAAATAGGAAGCTTACTTTTGAAAGTCTCAGTTGTACATGAGCAGATAGCATGTAACTACAAAATGGAGAAGAGAAACCCTGAGGATTTGGCAGCTTAAACCAAGTATAATACTGTCGTGCCTTGGATTCTTTTATGAGGATGATGATGGATTTAATAAACTGTTAATCTAATGTGTAGGCATTCAATAGTAAAGATTCTTTCATTACTTTTAGCCTAACTTTTTCTTGGCACACTGTCACTGCGTGTCACTTTTGTCACTGCGTGTGTTAGGCCAGGTCTATAGTACAAACCAATATCAGTACAGCTACATTGCTCAGGCATATGAAAAATCCACATAATGTAATGAGGTAGTTATACCAACCTAACCTCCATGCAGATAGTACTAGCAGGAGAGCTTCTCTCGCTGACATACCTGAGGGAGGTGGGATTAACTATGCTGATGGAGTAGCTCCCATTGATGTAATAGCATCTTCGTGTATAACACTACGTCAGTGCACAATGTACAGCTGCCCTGCTCTAGCACCGTATGTGAAGACAAGCCCTAAGTATACTGGCCTGTTTGACACTTCATTTTTCTTGAGAACATATCAGTTTTGCTATTGAGGCCATCTCTTCT